TCCCATGGTCATCCTCTGGTCATCCATCTGCTTCCGACGGCAGGCGATCAGATGCCAAGAGGAAAGGTGGGTGGCACCTGATGCCTCAAAGGCACTGAAGGGATCTCAAGGCGCGCACACTGATCAAGTGATGCAGATCGCCGCGCAGGGTTTCTTCCAAGAGGCGGAGACCTGCAAGACACGCACTGCACATCTGCAAGCAAATCTCGCTGGCGCCCGCCCCATCACGGCTGGTCCGCTCCGGCTTCAGTCTTGGAGGTCAAGTCGTGAGGGGCGCCTGTGGAATACTTGCCCGCCTCTTAATCCCGAGGTTCTTCCCACGCACGGATGCAGCCGGATTTCTGGAAAAGGATCTCAAGTGACTCAAGTACAGAGGATGGACATGCATGGAAGGGTCAGGCCCAGGGAAGTTATCTGGATCAAGTCCTGGGGCCTGACCCCATTGCAGCGATGAAAATCATTGGGCTTGAGCCCTGGCGAATCATCGCACTCGAACACAAGGTGGGACACAAGACTGGGATAGAATCCTGAAGGCTTGACCCTCCGAGCGACATGTTCAGCAATATGACTTTGGATTGGAAAACCACCATGTGCAGGATAAAATCCTGCAGGCGCAGCCCCACGTGCCTCAGGATAAAACATCTAAGCGACTGAATTTAGGGGTCGTGTGCGACCCCTGTCTCAAGTGCATTTTCCACTCCCTCTGTTCTTGGATTGCTGCAAGGTTCCTGCAATCCTCTTTGGTTTGCAGCAACTTCAGAACGACCGCAAGACAGGGAAACCTACCGCCCTGAGAAACTCCTGCAGTGCTCTTTGGTTTGCAGCAAGTTCGACGAACCTCTGGCGACCACAAGACAGGGAAACCTACCGCCCAAAGTCCCGGCTCACATCAGAAGCCCCCGGAGATCCGAAAAGAAGGGAGTGGCCCCGTGGGTATGGGGAAGAGCTTGCCTGACTTCGGAGGGGTCGCGAAGCGTGGCATTGTAGACCTTCGAGGTCGATCTCCTGTACAGCCGCCCACATGCTGGAGCTGACGGGCATGTCGCCGTCGGCCCTTAAAAGAACCTCTGGCTTTCGAGTAGGTCTTCAAACGCCTGCTACGGCATGCATCCACAGACGCCACGACACAGACTTGAAACTTCACTTGAGTTTCGAAGCCTGACTCTTTAAACACCTGCGTCATCCCAGCATCTCGCACGTGACAGGCGCTGCGCGGCTGCCAGCTCGTAATCGTCGTGATCTCAACCGAGAACCACTCGTTTATCTTGGATGGCTGATGAAAACATCCAGTGATCTTTTGCCTTGAGGGCTTGAGGCTTAAGGATCAATCGCGTCTCAAGCCTTCCTGCGGCACACCTCGGCTGCGGGTGATGCTCCACACAACCGGTGCTTTGCTACACCCCCGTCGCTGGCTCTTCCACTATACTGAACTTGCGCATTGTCAGTGTGCTGCATTGGCATGCGGTTGCAGCAAGCACCTCCCATGCTGATTGAAGAAAGGGCCGCGCCATGGGGCTGCCAGCTCTTGATCTCAACCAAGAACCGCGTATTATTGTCTTGGAGGGCTGTAGACAACAGGGCATCCAATGATCTTCGTCATGCTCTCCAGCCATACTTCCTGCGGCTGGACACCTCGGCTACAGGCGATGCTCCACACAGCCGGTGCGTTGTTACAACCCCGTGAGGGACTATCCTCGGCTTGCGCATTGTCAGTGTGCCGCATCGGCAGGCGGTTGCGGAAAGCACCACCCATGCTGATTGAAGAAAGAGCCGGCTGTAGAGAAACAACAGACGGAGAAGACGCTTCTCAACAAGGGAAGCGGTGCAGAGTAACGCACACGACTTCCAACAACCCCTCTAAAGCAGAGGTGAGGGTTTCTGACGCGAGGGCGACGGCATTGAACCATGCTTTTGAGGAAAACAAAGGGAGGTAACACTTAGACCGGGCAAGGGGGGCACCCCAAACTAAGTTCGTCTAAGCCCCTGCCCCTTCGCACTGCTAACTTCGTCGAACCTTCCCTGCGTTCGCAGGGGCATCTACTCTCCATGGGTTAGTCTTCCAGCTAACCCTTGGACCCTTCGTGAATCTGTCCTCAGGCTCGGCTCTGCCCCGCTAAGTTCGTGGAATGGGTGCCTGTTGCCCGTCAGGCGGTTACCTACCTCCGTGTTGCCCTGAAATGCTCGCACGGCAGAAGAAAGCACGCTGCCAGGAAGGACCAGGATCTGCCCATGAATCTTCCCGGGCTCTGCGGGCGTCATGCGAGAGATGGTAGGATCCAGGAGCCCGCGCTGAACACAAGAAACGAAAGCCCCGAGCTTCGCCCCGGGAAGGTTGACCGTTTTGGCCGGCGGGACCTGAAACCCCAACGAACGCAGAGGACTGGGGAAGTTGACAAAGTCGACCGCGGGATCCCTTGCTCTCAATGAGCACATGAGCGACGGACAAAATTACTTAGGAGAGTGCGAGGTCGCGGAATACTATGTTATCGCTTTACGTGGGGCCCATTCGCTTTACATACCATGGGACTGCGGATACACGTGTCTGAGCGTGCACACTCATGTTATCGCTTCAGGTGGCGCCCACATCGCATTCCATGGTTTCCTGATAAGCGCAACAACTCGTGTCCACCGCAGTACTGGCTTAGACAACACATATTTTTGGCAGGAGCTCACATGGGTTTTACAG